CGAACGGCTGTCCCTGTCACTGGACGTCCCCGTTCTGAACGAGAATGTTCATGGCGGACAGTCACCGTAGTGCCCGCGAGCATGCGTCGTTGGCTCTGTGCCAGAAGCACCGGTGCGCAGGCGGTGGTCTCGGTTGTCGATGGAGGCCATAGTCAGCAGCACCGGGGGTTCCCTGGGATTCCCCGTGACGCCGCACAGCCGACGACAGGGCCGTCCGGATCGGGGCGCCGATGTCCGAGTGTCGCTCGTGATCGGGGAGTCTCCAGACGCATTGCCCTCATCGCATGGTCTCGGCCCTCTTACCAGAGCTCAGTGGGCGGTGGGAGAGGGCGGGGAGCCGGCGGGGTCTGCTTCTCACTACGCGACACTGATCAGATGGGTTCGTACCCCTTCCCCTCCCTTCATCCCTCCACCAGTACGGGGCCGCCACGGCCAGGGTGTTTTCTGGAGACGAGAAGGTCATCGGAGGTTAGAAGGTCAGAAGGCCCAGCCCACGTCGCGCCGGGCGGCATCTCCATCGGTTCGGCTGCCTTCGCCGTCGCATCCTGTCGAGGCCCTCGGTTGTCTCCGGGGGCCCGTGCCCCTCCGGAGCCCGCCGTCGCATCCTGTCGAGGCCCTCGGTTGTCTCCGGGGGCCCGTGCCCCTCCGGAGCTCGCCGTCGCATCCTGCCGAGGCCCTCGGTTGTCTCCGGGGGCCCGTGCCCCTCCGGAGCTCGCCGTCGCATCCTGTCGAGGCCCTCGGTTGTCTCCGGGGCCCGTGCCCCTCCGGAGCTCGTCGTCGCATCCTGCCGAGGCCCTCGGTTGTCTCCGGGGGCCCGTGCCCCTCCGGAGCCCGCCGTCGCATCAGGTCGAGGCCCTCGGTTGTCTCCGGGGGCCCGTGCCCCTCCGGAGCTCGCCGTCGCATCCTGCCGAGACCCTCGGTTGTCTCCGGGGCCCGTGCCCCTCCGGAGCTCGCCGTCGCATCAGGTCGAGGCCCTCGGGTGCATCCTCCAGATGCATCACCTTACACCTATCATAATTGAATGACATCTGCCACGGAAAACTCCAGTTCACTAGTTCATTTAAGTCAAGCTGAATCTGGTTCACCTGATCAGGATTTGTCGACAGCCCTGCCAATTTAATATCGTCAGGCAAAAAGTGCGAACAGCCTCTTGAAATAGCGCCTTCCCTGTAGCCTCCTGAAGGGGCCTCGAAGCGGCACCATTTGTGCGCACGTGCAGTGTTCACTTTAGCAGACAGGTGCTGTGGCCAGATAGTGGCCGGTTCTTCTCCAGGAAATGATCCGTTTTTGAACCAAAACAGGATGCAAAATCGATGTACTGGGAAAAAACATTACTAGTAAATACAAACGTCCATCTGCTGTTCTGTGCCCATTCTCAAGAGATGGGCTCTTCATGATAAGGACAGCTCGAAATGTTGAGTGCTCCTAATGCGCTCATTGCTAATCACTTCAGCTTCGTTTAATCAGTGCCCCCAGCTATGTCGCAGGTCGTTAACCCAACGCAAGAACTTTGAGTTCATGATACCGAAATACCGGTAGTGAAAGGAGCTTTTATCTTATATCAAGTCGAAATTATGATCGCAAAGTAAAGTAAACAAAATTTGTCAAAGTATGTGTCCCAAGAATGGACAAGGCTCATGGCTTCGGCCAACCGAATGAAATGCGCAAAGCCCTACCCGTGCTAACTACTATTCAGCAAGTGATCCGTATCTAAGTGTGACTGACAGCTAGCCGTAATTAATTTCTCTAAGATCATGCATGCGAGTGAGTAAAGACTAATAGAACTGTATTTGCTGACACTTTTTTGCTCACTTCTTAAATATTGGGATCGCATTGGCATTGCGCCACTGCTCGGGTATTTCTGAGAAACTCAGGGACTTGTTCAGTATTAACAAAAGAGAACAAGCTTAAGCACTACCGCACTCATTCAGCACTCTACCATACATCTGGTCAGGTCCGACAGTCTTATCAACCCTGATTTCCTTCAGGCTATCCCTAGCCATACAAAACCACTGGTAATGATGATCGCCTTGGAGATGGTGGGCATGCGGTCAAAGTTCTGTTTAACACTGCGATCACGTGGTGTGATTCAAAACCCCGCTGATAGATGGCAGGAGGAGTGGAAGCCTCTTCATGGGGACGGTCTGCGAGCAGGCGCGCGTTCTACCAACGCCAGCCCGTCTCTTCACGGACACCATGCTGCCATCTGGTGGTCGGTTACGAGGCTGTGATTCATTATCCGTGGCAGCGCTGACCCTGCAGAGGGCGCGCGTTGTGATGGAGTCTGGCCGCACTTAAACACCGACAAAAACCCCTCTGCCCAACATGCTGGAGGCGAGTTGTGTGGTAAGCTGAAGTGAATAAACTCCGACGGGGGCCTCCCGTCTCTACGTCAGGTCTTGCCGTCGCCACGTCGTGGCTTAACTCCCGTCGACGCCGCGGCGGGTCTGTCCGCTCTTGAGGTGTTCTGCTTTTGCGATCAGTACTCTCCTTCCGCTCTTGAAGGGTTCGACGATCGCAATCAGTACACTCCTTCCGTTCTTGGTGTCGACGATCGCGACCAGTACACTCCTTCCGCGCTTGAAATGTTCTGCTTTTGCGATCAGTACACTCCCTCCGCTCTGGAAATGTTCGACGATCGCGATCAGTACACTCCTTCCGCTCTGGAAATGTTCTGCTTTTACAATCAGTACACCCCTTCCGCTCTTGAACTGTTCGACTATCGCGATCAGTACGCTTCTTCCGCTTTGGAAATGTTCTGCTCTCGCGACTAGTACGCCATTTCCGCTCTCAGCAACTCCGATCATGATCTCATTGCTAAGCAGCGCGTGCATGATGACGATTGCTGTGTGCCCGGCGACCTTGCTGCAAAAAAACCTGTTAGCACTGGACTGCCGAGTTCCAACCTTTGCTGGCGCAGAAGTGGCAGTCGAAGAAGAGGGCAAAGAAAAGTTATAAGGAATCCGGATATCAATGTCTGGTTGAAACATATCGTTTACAACCACACGTAAATAAGTTTTTCAGTGTGGCTACGGATCCATGTGTTACTATTGCAATTTAGCACAACGTCATGGAAAATAAACGTCAAACATTCGGGCAATACCTCGCCACTCTCAGGCCGGATGGCGTGGCGGGGAAGGGGATAATTATGTAAACATCAGATTTTCAAAATGTCTGAGACTGCTCCATCCAGCCTTTTGTCCAAATATTATTAAAAACGACGGTACAAATGAAGTCATACACCCTGTGCCGGTCAGTCATCTAAAGTTTTGCATGCTTACAGATTTCATTTTTGGATAGACACGATCCTTCCAAAGCAATATTTTCCTCCATTTATACCGTCCCAGGGGCTCATGCAATATTTTATTTGGGGGGGGGGGGGGCGGACATGACTCTTTTTTCATCTGAAACCCCAATCAAACGTGGCTGGTGTGGGCGGTTAGTTGTATCGCGTGGAACAACATTGCGCGTCCCCAATCCAGTTCTTTGAAAGTGCCGATCCTCCACCTTTAGTGTTGACAATTGTTTGTGCAGAGATTTACACACACACACACACACACACACACACACACACATATATATATATATATATATATATATATATATATATATATATATATAACCAATTTGATAGGATTAAATGGGTGCACGCGAACCCAGGGGCCACTATGGGCATTCGTAGCCGCACCGTTCAGCCGTTCACAAAGCGGCCCTGCGTTTCGTTTTGGCGTCGTCATCTGTGGAGCAGACTTCCTGAAATTGCGTCATTGTTTGCCAGGTTGGCCAAATGACCCACTGAAGCCCCCCCCCCTTCCCCCCTCCCCGGTGATGAGGTGATGCAAGCACGTGCCAGTGGCCCTGCGGAAGCCGTGGCCTAAGCCACCTCGTCCGAAGCTCGAAGCTGTCGCCATAGCTTGGGGCGAGGCAACAGCCGATGGTCGATGACGCCGAGTTTTAACTTCAGGAGGGGTCATCTCCCACCCCCTGGCTGCACCCTACCGATAGCACTGGGCAATGACGTACGTCCTGTGTACCATACGAGGAGTAGAATTGGTGTCACAATGCATTGTGTAACGTTGCGGTTGCGGCAATGCAAACCTGCACAGTGCTTCGTTGAACAAACTTGAGTTGACTGGATTCGATCTTATTTCAAATGATTGGCGCCTACAGAGAAGTACGAACTGCAGCAAGTGGATCGCACACGCCTATTTCATTTGGCATCCCGGTTTTCAGAATTTTATTTATACACCTCGATAATTCTCCAAGGCTTTGGCGTCAACACGGACTCCGTGGGTGTGGGGACAGTAATACCTGTTGGTCTTTTAATTTAGACAGCCTTACGGCGGAAAACGAGACACAGAAATTGCCCATGTTTGTAGCTTGTTACGGTCTAGAAATCTTTTGGAAACACAACTTATCATGTAGACATGAATGGACCCAGCTTTCTTTAGAGTTCCAATCTCTCTAAAATGTTCTGCTGTGGATTAGATTTAACGTTTTCATTTCCCTACCTCAGGTACGAGTGACGGCTCCCAAGCGGACAAGGCGCCAGTTAAGTCAGGGAAGCAAAATGGTCGCCGTATTTGGAGCTCCCATAATTCAGATAACTGCTAAACAACTACCTGACATTTGTTAGGACGATTGCGGACCGCGCAATCCAACGTTAGCTTGAGTCTCACACGAAAATCCAGCAGAACCCGCCGGGCACGGCTAAACCGCGCGCCTCGACACTCACCCGCGGGAGCCTCTGGCCCTGCCCCTCTCCCCCCCCCCCCCTCACACACAGCAGCTTGTTGGGACTATTCGCCGGAACACCTGAGCAGCTGTGCAGGGGCCTCTGTGTCCGGGGTTCACTTTCACCAGCCGGCGCTGGTCGTCGGGCGGCGGCGGGCGGCCGCTCCATGCCATGCTGTGCCGCCGGGCACGGGCGACCCTACCACCACCGTGACCCACATCTACGGCGAGTTCCACTTTCCTCACAACTGGCAGTGCCTCGGCGAGCGAGGCGCGTGGCGCTTGTGACAGGGCTCCTCCGTTGCGCAGAACGGCCGCGCTGTGGTGACGCGGCGCTATGAGGAGAGACGCGAGGACTTGCGCCGATTTGTGATTTCTGCGCGAGGGAGCAGAAGACTGTCTCTCCTGCCCGGCCAACCGGTCCCCAGAATGAAACCGTTTTGCTTCCTGCTCTTTGCAACGACGGTGAGTTGACGACGGGACCGTTATTGGAACTGCGGTGCGTTGACGAGGGCATTGTGTTGACCTGGTGACGACTTCGGCTGAGTAACTGCGGCAGTCCTGTCCCCACGCTGGTCGTCTACTGGGCGACTGTGTTACGTCGACGAGCACGCGCGACAAACGTCTCTCTGAGTTCACATCACGTGTTGCCAGGCAACGGTCAGCAGCAATTCAGGGATCGTATGACCGCGTAACACGGGTCTCATGGTATTCTGCGTGTTGCGGCGCATCCTTATACCCTGGTGAAATGTCAGAGGACTCTAAATCTCCAACCCTCATTACGTGCGTATTTCTGTCTTGACATGAGTGGTGCCAAGACAAGATCTGTGAGTCTACTGCCCCGGCACTGAAATATGACATCATCAGCCATTGTTCATGATCGAACAAGCGCCCGGTAATTACAAGCCAAAATATCATGCCTGAATGGCCTATGTTGATCTGCTAGCACTTGGTAGCATATCCCTAATTCATATCTGGCAGCAATGCCGGGTGATCCACAGTGGAACACTGAGTGCAGAGGGCGCCCACAACCTACGGCGCTCACGACCCACTACTCCCACGACCCACGGCGCCTATGACCCACGACGCCCATGACCCGCGGCACCCATGACCCACGGCGCCCACGATCCTGGATCCAAGGTCCTGTCATCATTCTGGATCCTTCCAGATCGACACGGCTAGCGCTAAAAGCAAACGTTGTAGCTGGGCCAACGCCGCACGGGGTTCTCAAATATTGACAGTCACACCTACATCATGCCGCACAATATACGCGTGTCCCCGATTTGAGAGCCCCGCACGTCTTGTGCAGAAACTTTCGCACCGCCTCCCGTAACGTTCTCGGGTCGCTTCGGCTTTCATGCAGCCTGCAGCAGCCGATTGGTGACTGATGAGATGACATGCACCAGCCGCTTGGTGATTGGTGAGTTGGCATGTACTCGGTGAAGCGAAGCCTTATCTAGCTGCGTGAGTCAGCCGGGCTTCATGAGGGTGCGGCCGGACTTGCGGCGCGTTGTCATCACAGCGTGCTTTGTTTGGTCAGTGATGTGGGTGGTCTACGAGCGTGCTTAACTGGTCAAGAGGGCACCGGATGGTTGTACCAAGCCCCAAGGTGTCCCAGGAGCGCGGTAGAAGTGGTGGGCTCTTCCCAGGTCACTTTTGACCGCTTTTTGCAAATCGTCTTGATGGCTTTCTCCGTTTTCAAGCATTTCTGCGCAAGGCTTCTAAACGTTGCTTGCTTGTTTTCTTTTATCCAGTTATAGCCACTCGCGTCTGATAAAAGTGCCAACATATTGAAAGGGTTCATTGGCTAGAAGCAGTCGTCTGTTGGAAAATAACACATGGGCTGCCCGTTTCTACTCAGAAGGGTGGGACAGGGAGGAGGATGCATTCGTTAAAGCTCAACATGAATGCACGGTAAGGCACGGGGAGAGTTGACTTGAGATGACCATTCGTAACCCAATTACTATTTCCAAATCCCATTATTAGCCCCAGTTCCCAATTCAAGACACATTTTTTTCAAACCCTGTTTACGGGTAACCAAGTGTGTCCCCTCCTCCCTGACCCCAGCGACACAAAGAACCCTACGTTAACACAAAGAACCCTTCGTTAACTCCAGAACCCTGCATTAACAACGGAACCCTTCCTTTACACCAGAACCTCACGTTAACACCAGCAATTCTATAAGAGCGGATTCCAGCATTCCCTGCTAAGCACTGGAAAACAAGCGTAAAAGGTAACACATGACAAACGTTAAGCGTCCATAAAATAGTATTAAAGTCGGTTGAACGTGGTCCCAGCTAATGCCAGGCAACTACTGCTCTCTGATTGCACTGGCACAGGGCCAATCAACGACGCATACCATCCGCACTAGTAAAGGATGTCAACGGCACAGATCGGAGGGGTGTCGGTTGGTCCCATCGTCTTGCGTGCCTCGCCCTAGACCTCCATGGAGTCCACCCAGCAGCGGCTGAACAGTGTTTGTTGCGGGGTGGCACTCAAGGATAGCGTCATTGATTGGGGTGACGTTGTGGCTTTACGAGATTGGGAATGGGGCGAGTCAGTTGATTATGGCTATGATGTGAGTTGACATTTATCGTGAGAGGTCATGATTATTGGTGGGTATGCAGGGACGCACTTACCGTGTGTAATCGCTGTCATGGATTGTGACAATTGATAGATGTTTGAAACGTGTCGTCATAAAACAAGACCGAAGTAAAACGTCTTAACTTAGGCTGAATCATATACACTGACTATCATTGCTCGATTTGGTCGTTTTGTAATGTTCCCAGGCTTTTAAATTTCACAAGTAGCGCGGGGAACACCAAAAATAGATCATGTCATACCTTAGGGCATAAATATGACATTGTAAGTTATATAGAATTTCTATTTGAAAGTGCTGTCCAATAACAGCATCTTGCCTTCTTTATTCTGTGTGGTCTGCTTTGACTTAAGATCATTCATGGAGAGGGGCTGATAGCTGGTTGGTTACAAATTTATATAAACTATATCCATGATAACGCTTTAGGTTAACAATGGGCATCACAATCATTCATGTGAACAATATGCATCATAGTAATTTACAAACGATAAACACAGGCATGGTGCATGACGATGTTCATCACCTCGAAAATTTTATTTCGTTCAAAAGATTTTTGAAAGGCTGTTCGCAACTGGTTGGCGACAGACAACATCGTTCTCATTCGAATACCTCATTTCTACAGCACATCTAATTTATTAACCGGAAATTCATAGCGGACTCACAGCAGCAGTCGACAAGTATGCAGACATTGGAGAATTAGTGATAACAAAGGACCTGAGAATGCCGCATCGAGAACATGAGAGCGCTCTTGCGCGCTTGGAAACACTGACCCGCCGGCGTTCCCGCTCTTGCCCGCATCAAGCAAACATGTCTCAGATCAGTGAAGATCAACGACATAGTAAATAGAACGGCGACCTCGAAAAGGTCAGGAGGTCGGCTGCGCACCCCCGACGAGGCCTGATCCATGCTCACGCGACTAGAGGACATTTGCGACTCCCACCAGCCACTGCTGACGTCATCTAAACCCAGCTATGGACTCAGCTGGGGCCGCCGGCCACAAGACCACCTGCACGAGCCCGCAATACGGCACTAACGCGGCGGGTGAAAGGGCGAATACAGCGGCAGATTAGGTCAGCAGAGGTATTGGGGCCTTGGCATAGCCTCTGGCTGCACAGAGGTCTTGCCGCTTGTTGTGGTCATGGCCTTTGTGGCTCCTTTCGCAAAGTGACATTATATCAGCTCAGTTTTTCCCCTGTACACATTCGCGAGTTACTCGAGCGTCTCAATAAAAAAGTGCAGTTCATCGCTTATTACACAACGGTAATGTACTGTAGATACCAGAGGTTTACATGGTTAGTACGATGCAACAAACGGGCGCATGGTGTTTTCTTTTTTTGTGAAACTCCACTATTTGACTTGATGTAAGGGAGGTTTTCGTCAAGGGTGTTTGCCGCGTAGAGTGTGTGCCGATCACCAGCCTTTCATTGCCTATGAGTATTTGCCTTAGACATATTGCTGGTCTTAAAACAGAGCGGATCGATGAGGCCTCGAACCCCAGACCTACCGGTCGAAGCGCTCTTACCCTGAAGAGCCGCTCCAAGACCGCTGTGGATGGCGCCCGGACGTCACCGCTGGGGGGGGGGGGGGAGGAGGGGGAGGGGAGGGAGCATTCGAGTGATCCCCTTACCACCCTGCGATGATCATAGTGTTGCGGTGGCTTGGCGCTCCAAAATCCTCAGTTTGGCCACAGTTCGGCCTCGGTTCGACCTCAGTTCGGACTTGGTTCGACCTCATCAGTTCGGCCTCTCACCCCAAAGGTATCGGCCGACCGGCATCGACCGACCACACGGCATCGACCGACCACACGGCATCGACCGCTGACGATCACCTGCCTGGAGCACACCGGAAATCCCCCTCGCCCCCCCCCCCCCCCACACGTCTGAACCGTCTACACCACGACGTTCGTCCTGGTGGTTTGTGGTATATATTATGCAAATTTATTCCTCCCACGCACTGCAGGGAGGTCGCAAACACAATGCCACGTGTTTTCGAGTCTCTGCAGGGTGGAAGAAAGCGGGCAAAACATGCGCAGAGGGGCAGAGTGGTGGTGTTTTATGACCGCCGAGGGTAGCTTGATGGTACGACCACGAATTAAGACGCACATGGCTCGGGTCAAGGCTGCTCCAGATGATCCTGTGACGTGATGTGCGTTGAAATATCTGCAGTATGTATATATGTATACATGCACATATGTATATATACATATATATATATATATATATCTCTCTCTCTCTCTCTCTCTCTCTCTCTCTCTCTCTCTCTCTCTCTCTCTCTCTCTCTCTCTCTCTCTCTCTCTCTCTCTCTCTTCTCTCTCTCTCTCTCTCTCTCTCTCTCTCTCTCTCTCTCTCTCCTCTCTCTCTCTCTCTCTCTCTCTCTCTCTCTCTCTCTCTCTCTCTCTTCTTCTCAATATCTAAGTGCATCTATATATGTCTAAAATAAACTAGAAATACAAGAAAAATACGTTAAAATGCGGCAAACTAAAACTCGCTGTACCTGAACTTGTTTCCACGCTCAATAGGGCGGCTTTCCTAGTAAAATGTTTTTCAGTGGTCGAGTTCTCGCACGCACCAGACTAGAAGAACAGCACTAACATTGTCCAACGCATGATGTGCTTATGATGGTTGTGAAGGATGAACGATCAAACTTAGCTGACAACCTGCCGTTCCATAAAACTATCACGCATGCCATGGCGAATTTTCATCCACGATCGCACCAAGACCCGAGACGCGTCACTGCCACACACACAAGTAACCATTGTAACTGGTCGTCGATGATCGCACCAAAAATTAACACGTCTGGTCGCAAATCGACCAATTATTGGTTTTTGGTTATTGGTGACGGTAGGCCCAGTGCCTCACAACGTGGA